GGCTCTGATTAGCAAATACATAAAGTAGAAAGCCTTGAAACTCAATTTCTATATGGACACTTCTTGATGATCTTATACCTTCTACTTCTAGCTACTTAACATCCTTTTGAAAGCCTCAAGCAATAGTGTTTGCCTCTCCATGATCACCGTGTCACCGAGAGCAAACCCGATGATGAATCCGCTTATAGTTCCTATCCAAATAAATCTCCAGTCAAGATCTAGAGGACGTCATGAATCATCATCTTCTCGAGACAGTGGAAAGCTTTCACAATTCCTCTCCAATGGATCTCCGCATAACCCTAGATTATCGTTAAACAAACTCTTCCCAAATGTAGACTGTTGGATCCCTTGTATCACCTTCCTAGTGAGACTGTTGTGAGAGACATCAAAGTATTGAGGGAAAGTGAGTTGCCTGAGTGGTTGTTATGAGAAAGGTCCAAAGACTTGAGCTCAATTGAGTTCCCTAAGGATGGTGGGATATATAGGACCAGCAAGCATGTTGTTGGAAAGGTTGAACGAATGAAGACCCTTCAATTCTCCGATAACTCGAGGAATTTCTCCACTGAATTTGTTTCTCCAGAGATCAACAAATATAAGTATTCGTAGAATTTTTAGATAGTTTTCTTCCTTGATCATGATTGTGATCGAATAACCAAAATAGATAATGGAGGCTTTTTAAATTCTCCCGGGATCAAGCAGTTTGTTGTATGACATCATATATGTTGAATCTTTGATAAAACTAGCTTTCATGGCTTTCCAAATAGCCATATACTCGGAAGGAAACTCGCCTATGAATTTGTTGAAGGAGAGATTGATAATCCGCAACTTGGGAAACTCAAAACTTCTTTTATTACTCCATAAAATTCGTTTTGTCTCAGGTTGAGAACATGTAATTGGGAAAGAGCCCCCAGCCAAGAAGGGAATACGTCCGCAAGCTGGTTTTGCGCATCACTCATGTAATTGGGGAACATTGTGGACGTTGCCCTTGAAACTGATTGCGACTAAAATCAGCCATACTCAAATTTGTTGTATGTGTAGTGCTGCACAAGTTACGGATGGCTCCATGAAACAAGTTATTCCATCGGTCAGCACGGCTAGGGAATTGTTGAAGTTTCCTAAACATGGCAGAAGCTTGCCACTCAACTTGTTGTTGGATAAGTCAAGTATCTGAAGAGAGCTCAAGTTGCATACCAATGGGCAAATTTCTCCGGTCAGGTTGTTCATTTCTATGCCGTAATCTTTAATGGCTGGTGACGGGTTCGATCCCCAAAACAGCGTCAAAAACTTGATGTGAAAATTACAAGTGCACAATATCACATACAAGTAATAAAGTAGTGAATAGAATATCGTTCTCACGAGGAGTGCGTAATTTTAATTAAGCACCGAAATTGGTTAACTCTAAAATTATTTGAACAACCTAAAATAAAATAGAAAAAATAGTAAGAGCAAAATGCAAATAAAAACTAAAATAAATAAAAGACTCAAACAAATTAAAGACTAGGGCAACTGATTTTGTCAAATCTAATCCTGTTTAATTCCTCAATTCTCATTATTCATATTTATTATCCAAGTTGACAATCGAAAATCTCTAATTTATTCATTGCTCTCTTCCGAGTTACACCAAAAGTCCCCTCAATTGCTAACACACTATATTCCTATGTGAATTACAACAATCAAAGTGTCATGAACAATTCATAGATTTTCATGTAGTGACCACACAAATTATGCAAGTATATTCCTATCTCACATGTAATTTATGGCATTCAACACACTGAACTCAACACATAATTCCCCTTCCAATTCTATTATGATTAACCAATCATCTAATTAGTGGCCAATTAATTAAAAGCATTAAGAACAGTGATGAACACTCAATCTTAAAAATTAAAAATAAATAACTCGAATAAAAGAAATTAAAATATCATAGTGGGGCTAAATAGAGCTCTAACAAAATAACACTAAAATATAATTAATTTAAAATAAATCTAGAGTTCCAACATCTCAATTCACAAAAATACAGAGATAGAAAAATTAAAATGAACAACTCATATAAAGGTGGCCCAGGCTCTAAATTTGACTTTTCAATCCTTAATCTTTAATTTTTAATCTCTAAAATATTTTTTTTCCTTATAAAACTTAAAATTAAAAATAAAAGTCTTAACAGAATGACCCTAAATTTCCCAAAATAATTTCTCCTGATATTTTCTCTCAGACAGGACTTTTCTTTATTTTCTGGGTGATATGCCCTGTGAAATAATCGCATGGGGTTCTCTCCCTTTTCGTTGTTGCGGCTGAAAAAGGCTTTAAATAAGCCTTGGTTTCACGTGAGCGAAAAAGAGATAACAAGGGGCATTAGGGTTGCTGATGTCATCATCCACGTGGCAGCATCTTATTGGCTAGAGCAAAAGCAAGAACACATCTTCTTGTGCACGTGGAAAAGCTCTTCTCTTGGAATGGGACTAAGGTGACCTCACGTGGTGAAGGAAGAGTAATTGCAGGGCTGCTCCCTTTGGTCTTGCTACTGCCAAGGGCTATTAATAGCCTCCAAATTCACACGTCAGATGAGCAAAAGAAGGAGGGGCATTAGGACTCTGATGCAAAGGTGACACATGGCAAACTCTGAGTAGGTTGGAGGTAAAACTAGATGATGGTGCACTTTGGATTGCAGATGAAGACAATCGGACGGCCAGTGAAGAGCATGAGTGGCAGAGCGCGCGGAAGAAAGCTGAATCCGGATTTGCCATTGATTTTTGAAGTATTTTCATTACCAACTCAACTTCAAATTGTACTTTTCACCTAATTTAAACACAATTGAGAATTAATAAAATTATTAGAAGAAAAAAGCTAAATAAAATAAACTAAAATAAAATAAAATAACACAACAAAAATTAAACTAAAAATAAATAAATTTATTAAAAACAAAATAAATTTAAATGTAAATAAGAAAGAAAATAACTTTATTTTATGGAGTTATCACAGTCAAACCCAAGGAAGGATTTCTGAAGGTGGGTGAAAGTCTGTGAGGAAATTATGAGACAAGTCCATAATGTCCAAAGTATATGTGCTTGAATTCCACATCCAAAAAGGTACTTGCCCCTGGATTTTGTTTCTAGAAAGATCCAACTTCTATAGCTTATTTTGATGCCCAAGGGACCTTGGAAACTCTCTTAAGTTGCATGAGCCAAGTTTTAGAGAAGTCAACTTTGGAAACGAAGCGCTTAGGCCAAAGAACAGCGAGAAGTTGTTACCGGATATAGCTAGTTCAGAGAGACTTTTTATTTGGAAGAACATGTCAAATTTCATGGCACCACCTAAGTTGTTACTTGTTAGAGAAAGCTCAACTAGTTGGGTGAGGGTTTGAAAAGAAAATGGCACAAAGCCAGTTAAGTTGTTCTTCCCAAGGTGTAGCATAGCGAGTTGGGTGAGTTTACCGAATAAAGATGGAATAGAGCCGAAATAGTTGCAACCACAATGGTCTAAAATAGCCAAGAAATCTAGCTTTTTCTATTAAGGAGGTATTTTGCCAGAAAAACTAGTATCTTTAAGCAAAAGTTCTCTAAGTGCACTTCTTTTGTAGAATTCAGGAATATGACCAGTGAGATTCTTATTGGATTGTCGTACCTCCGTAGATGGGATACATTATGAAATGGGTTCATATGCCACTTTTTCATGTTTCTTTCCGTATATCTTAATAATAACATATCACGTCATAATTTTTTAATTAGTGTATCACAATATTATTAGAAGGACATGAAAGAAGACATAAATGAGGAGACATGTGAGTTGGTTACATACATTTTTAACCTTCAAATCAAATTAGATACAATTTGTAGCCAGTGGATAAAGTAAAAATCATAATAGAACATGAATAAGCGAAAAGGATACAATTTGAAAGTAAAATTACATAATTAGATACAATTTGTAACCTTTTATATTTTTATACATTTATTGACTTACAAAATGATATTGGCTACAACTCAAAGAGCTAAAAACATGAATAAGCCAAAAGGATCTTGTGCCAGAAAAAAGAGTGCATAATCTTGATAGAATTAATGACGTAAAATTTATAGAGGTTTGCCAATAGATTTAAAAGTAAATTAAGCTAGGCTTTTATGAAACGAGTAGTGACTGGCATCACAGAAAAAGAACCATGTTCCAACTAAGTTGGCACCCAGTTCACAATCCCAATCCAAATACCACCACACAATATTATTTAAAAAGATAACAAACAGAAACTACAAAAGGATCCGATACAACTGTAAGAGCTAAAAAGATGAAAATGGGCAAACAAACATCACGCATACTAGGCCAAGCTTAAGGATGGAAACAGCCACCATTATTGGATCTACTCCCGTAGAAAGAGAGGCCTCGTTAAAACCTGAACAGGCAAAAACCCCGTAGGGAAAAAAATCCTGTCCAGGAAAAAGAGTGCATGATCCTGATGGAATTCATTACATTAGATTCCCTCTGGTCATTGAAACCTATTACTAGGCAACTAGAAAGCCATATCTCTAGAGATGAAATCCAGTTAATATCTGCGGAAGTATGCCAACAATTTGCAACTCCAAATTGAATTGCTTCAGTTGAAAGACGACCGATCCACTATTTGGTTACCTTCTCTAAAGATATGGGAAACCAGCTATGTCTACATCTTAAGAAAGTTTGCAGAAAGTTGACCACCATTTTTGTTCAATTCTCCAAGGAGCAACAACCTTCTTCTGCAATAAATAATCAACTACATAAGAAGAGTAAAGAACAAGGCTTTTACATCTTACAAGTTCTTATAATGTGATATGTGAAAGAAGTAGTAATATTAGTTTTTAAAAAAAATATTAATATTAACATTGAAAACATACTACTACAGTACTGCTTGGAAAACAACTTAAAAAAACATAACCATATACAAAAAAAAAAAAACACACACACACACACACACACACAAAAGAAACTATGTAATTGAAAGAAACTAAGTAGAGCAAGGGACAAATAACCTGCTAAGGTCACTTTCTACGTTGCCTGATCTCCATTCTCGGTGGAATTCTTCTGAAAGCCTTGAGAAACCATCGTCGCCTCTTTGTGATCACCATGTCGCCAAGAGCAGCTCCAACGACAAACCCGCTTATGCATCGAGCCAAAACAAATTTCCAATCCAGTTCAATCGAAGATTTTGAATCATCGTCTTCTTCAACAGTTGAAGGTGGCAGTGGCAAGGCCTTGGAATCTCCGCATTTCTTGTATAATGGAAGACAAATAACCTGCTAAGGTCAATTTCTACGTTGCCTGATCTCCATTCTCGGTGGAATTCTTCTGAAAGCCTTGAGAAACCATCGTCGCCTCTTTGTGATCACCATGTCGCCAAGAGCAGCTCCAACGACAAACCCGCTTATGCATCGAGCCAAAACAAATTTCCAATCCAGTTCAATCGAAGATTTTGAATCATCGTCTTCTTCAACAGTTGAAGGTGGCAGTGGCAAGGCCTTGGAATCTCCGCATTTCTTGTATAATGGAATCCCACAAAGACCTGGATTACCTTCAAAAGAGGTATTATCCATATTACCAAATTGGTTCGCTTGTGGTATGGGGCCTCTGAGATTGTTGCGGGATACACCAAAACTTTGAATGAATGTGAGTCTCGTTAGCTGCGGGGGGATCTCGTAAGGATTGTGATTCAAGCACCGTTAAGTTCCCCAAGGATGATGGAATACTACCGGTAAGATTGTTAAAGGACAAATTCAGCGAACGAAGAGCTATGAGGTTTCCAACGAGTTGTGGAATCTCTCCATTGAATTTGTTGCAAGAGAAGTCAATCCCTGCAAAGCTTTCTAAAATCACCGGATAATTTCTTTCTTGACCTTTGTTGACAATTGTAGTAGAATAGTAATAATTGAAATATTGTGATACATATGTCGCAGACTTAAAACTATTAATTCAGGAAGAGTTCCCAACCAAGCAGGAAAGATATCAGTAAGTTGATTTTTTTCTACATCAAAATACTCAAGCTTCGTACAAGCCGCCATCGATCTTGCTAATTGCCCCTTGAATTTATTATTGCTGAGATCAATCATCTTCAAATTACTTGGCAACGCGCATACTTGAGGAATGGTACGACCAAAAGAGTTGTTTGCCAAATTCAACACTGGAGGGAACTAAGCTTTCCTAGACATTGTGGAACCGTGCCACTCAAATTGTTTGAAGACAAATCAAGTCTGCTAAGAGAGCTCAAATCGCACATCCATGAGAAGATTTTTCCAGTTAGCCAATTGTTTGAGATGGACTAATATTGAACGGATGCCGGAGCAATCGGCAACTGTCCTTGCAGTAAATTAAAACTAAGGTCGAATACCCATAGATTGACCCATGGAAGAAATATTGGTGATGGGTGGGGAAAGTCTACGAGGAAGTTGTCACCACATCCAAACTTGTATTCCACATCCATTTTGGAATATGACCGTGAATTTTGTTCCTAGAAAGATTCAACCACTCCAATTTATTTTGATGCCTGAGGAAATTTGGGAACTCACTTAAGTTGCAAGAACCCAAACCCAGACCTGTGAATTTCGAAGTTGTTGCATTTATGTTTCTTTGGTGAAAAAACAGTGACAATGTGTTCCCACTCAGGTGCAGGTCAACGAGACTTCTCATAGTAAAAAACAAGTCAAACTCCAAGGTGCCAGTGAGTTTGTTAGAATGTAGATAAAGTGTCTGCAAATTCATGAGTTTGTATAATGACTGCGGAATTTATCCACACAATTCATTGCCTTCAAGATAAACGGCAAAAAGTTGGGTGAGGTTTCCAAATGAAGATGGGATTGGTCCGGTTAGGTGATTATCACGTAGGCTTAAAAGACCGAGTTGACTAAGATTCTGAAAAGATGGAATATAACCATCTAGATTGTTGTTGTCAAGATACAGACGAACAAGTTGGGAAAGGTTTCCCAGCCAAGATGGAATTGGACCACCCAAATGGTTCATGCCTAAGTTTAGATTAATAAGTTTGGTAAGCTTACCAAGTGAAGATGGTAACGGCCTTGAAAAATTGCATCCCCAAAGATTTAGCCCTTCTAATGATTCAAGCTTTTCAATTGAGGGTGGTATACATCCCGAGAAACTAGTCATTGAAAGCACCAAAAATCAAGAGGACTCCGTTGGTGGAATTCAGGCAAATAACCAGTGAGGTCCTTATTCCACCCTAGTTTAAGAATTTTTAGGTTTGGCAGATGAAAAATGTTCTTAGGAAACTCACCATACAATCCACAATTTCCCAGAAAAATGGCCTTCAAAGAAGTGAAATTTGCTAGGAAATCAGGAACTGTGGATGGTATGTGAACAGATGTGAGACGAAGCCACACTACGCTTGTTAAATTTTGAACTGGGATTTTTAAGTTCCAACAATGGATAATATTGATTCAAAGGATCATTCGCATCAAAATCTGAAGATAGGTCGAGGAAAGTCAATTTGGAAAGATGTGAAATTTCTGATGGAATTTGACCATAAAACCATGAATCTGAGAGGTTTAGATATGTCAAACCCAAAAACTGCCCAATGGCAGAAGGAATGAGAGAGTAACTGAAGTTATTATCAGCAAGATTCAACTTTTGGAGATGGACAAGATGGAAGAGGCTGCTACTGGAATTGATAGAGCCGTAGAGACAACTGCTGTTGAGAATAAGGCCAATCACATGGCCCGTCTTCTCGTCACACTCGACGCCATCCCAAGAGCAGCAGTTGCTGCTTCCTCCTTGAGCTTTCCACGACAAGACCTTAGGATAAGCACCCTCATAAGAAGAAGCTAATTTGTCAATGACAAAGCTTTGCTTGAACTGCAACAACGCCAACCTCTCGTCATCATGGCAAGACAACTGCGAAAAAGAAGTATTAAAAGAGTTAGGACCCCTTTGGGAGAGCCTGTGCTTTCACTTTTAAGCAGTAGAAGAAAGAAGCATAAGTCAAGACTTTTTAATTAGGAATACAAGCAAAAATCAGGAATACTTATAGACTTTTTCTGTGATTTCTTTTATGTCAACTGAGCAAAAGTAGTAGAAGCAGGTCCAGATACTTATAGACATGATTTTAGATTCTTGAAGATAATTGTTGCCAGAAAAACTCAGGAGAGAAATTTTCATGACCACAAATGTTATAATCGTTTGATCATTTTCTTGAAAAGTCAAGTTTGCTTCATGTGCCGTCTTGTTGATCAGCATCTCTTTATTTCCTTGTTTTCAAGTTTGAGTCAAGTTGTTTGTAAATCAGACAACGCATACATTTCAACAAAATTATTAACTTACACGATACTAGTAAATGAGAGTGATGTCTAGTGGAATTGTGGAGACCACAAGTTCAAATGAGTTTGCATAGTAATTATTGTGAAATATTCATTGGGAAAGGGAAAAAAGCAACAAAATAAATTAATAAATAAATAAACAAACTGCCTACGAAATTCATTGCCATATATACAATTGCAACAATCAACGATCGAAATCTTATCTTATTTTCACCCCTATTAAGATCGTGAAGATTTTAGAATCTCGACGATGTTAGTTGAAAAATCCAGAGATAACATGCCTTAAAGTGGTTATAGATTCCATAACCTATTACTTGGCAATTAGAAAGCCATATCTCTAGAGATGAAATCCAGTTAATATCTGCGGAAGTATGCCAACAATTTGCAACGCCAAATTGAATTGCTTCAGTTGAAAGACGACCGATCCACTATGGGAAACCAGCTATGTCTACATCTTAAGAAAGTTTGCAGAAAGTTGACCACCATTTTTGTTCAATTCTCCAAGGAGCAACAACCTTCTTCTGCAATAAATAATCAACTACATAAGAAGAGTAAACAACAAGGCTTTTACATTTTGCAAGTTCTTATAATGTGATATGTGAAAGAAGTAGTAATATTAGTTTTTCAAAAAAATAGTAATTTAACATTGAAAACATACTACTACAGTACTGCTTGAAAAACAACTTAAAAAAACATAACCATCAAAAGAAACTATGTAATTGAAAGAAACTAAGTAGAGCAAGGGACAAATAACCTGCTAAGGTCAATTTCTACGTTGCCTGATCTCCATTCTCAGTGGAATTCTTCTGAAGGGCTTGAGAAACCATCATCGCCTCTTTGTGATCACCAAGTCGCCAAGAGCAACTCCAACGACAAACCCGCATATGCATCCAGCCAAAACAAATTTCCAATCCAGTTCAATCGAAGATTTTGAATCATCGCCTTCTTCAACAATTGAAGGTGGCAGTGGCAAGGCCTTGGAATCTCCGCATTTCTTGGATAACGGATTCCCACAAAGACCTGGATTACCTTCAAAAGAGGTATTATCCATATTACCAAATTGGTTCGCTTGTGGTATGGGGCCTCTGAGATTGTTGCGGGATACATCAAAACTTTGAAGGAATGTGAGTCTCGTTAGCTGCGGGGGGATCTCTCCTGAGAGCTTATTATTAGAAAGATCTAGTGATTCAAGCTCCGTTAAATTCCCCAAGGATGATGGAATACTACCGGTAAGATTGTTAAAGGACAAATTCAGCGAACGAAGAGCTACGAGGTTTCCAACGAGTTGTGGAATCTCTCCATTGAATTTGTTGCAAGAGAAGTCAATCCCTGCAAAGCTTTCTAAAATCACCGGATAATTTCTTTCTTGACCTTTGTTGACAATTGTAGTAGAAAAGTAATAATTGAAAGATTGCGATATATTTGTTCTGGGCGGATGAGAAATTTGCGTTTCCTTCATGTATCTCGAATCTGTATTGTTGATAGCTTTCATTCCACTCCAAATAAGCATGTATTGAAAAGGCAATTTACCAGTGAAATTATTGTAAGAGAGATCCATAACACGCAACTTGGCGAACAAAAATTTTTGTTTGGGTTTCTTGATAAAACCATAGAATCTATTATGTCGCAGACTTAGAAATTTTAATTCAGGAAGAGTTCCCAACCAAGCAGGAAAGATATCAGTCAGTTGATTTTTTTCCACATCAAAATACTCAAGCTTCGTACAAGCGGCCATCGACCTTGCTAATTGCCCCTTGAATTTATTCTTGCTGAGATCAATCATCTTCAAATTACTTGGCAACGCGCATACTTGAGGAATGGTACCACCAAAAGAGTTGTTTCTCAAATTCAACACTGACAGGGAATTAAGCTTTCCTAGACATTGTGGAACCGTGCCACTCAAATTGTTTGAAGACAAATCGAGTAGCCAAAGAGAGCTCAAATCACACATCCATGTTGGAGCAATCGGCAACTGTCCTTGCAACAAATTAAAACTAAGGTCCAATGCCCATAGATTGACCCATGGAAGAAATATTGGTGATGGGTGGGGAAAGTCTACCAGGAAGTTGTCATTAAGGAAGAGGAAAGTCAAAGTTTCCAAACTTGTATTCCACATCCATTTTGGAATATGACCGTGAATTTTATTCCTAGAAAGATTCAACCACTCCAATTTATTTTGATGCCTGAGGAAATTTGGGAACTCACTTAAGTTGCAAGATCGCAAACCCAGGCCTGTGAATTTCGAAGTTGTTGCATTTATGTTTCTTTGGTGAAAAAACAGTGACAAAGTGTTCCCACTCAGGCTAAGGTCAACGAGACTTCTCATAGTAAAAAACAAGTCAAACTCCAAGGTGCCAGTGAGTTTGTTATCATATAGATAAAGTGTCTCCAAATTCATGAGTTTGTATAATGAATGCGGAACCGAACCACACAATTCATTGCGTGCAAGATCAATGTAAAAAAGTTGGGTGAGGTTTCCAAATGAAGATGGGATTGGTCCGGTTAGGTGATTATCATAAACGCTTAAATAACCGAGTTGACTAAGATTCTGAAAAGAAGATGGAATATAACCATTTAGATTATTAAATTTGAGGTTCAGATGGTTTAGCTGTGTGAGGGCTCCAAACCAAGATGGAATACTACCATCTAGATTGTTGTTGTCAAGATACAGACGAACCAGTTGGGAAAGGTTTCCCAGCCAAGATGGAATTGGACCACCCAAGTGGCTCACGCCTATGTCTAGATCAATAAGTTTGGAAAGCTTACCAAGTGAAGATGGTAACGGCCTTGAAAAATTGCATCCCCGAAGATATAGCCATTCTAATGATTCAAGCTTTTCAATTGAGGGCGGTATACATCCCGAGAAACTAGTCTCTGAAAGCTCCAAACCCTCAAGCGGACTCCGTTGGTGGAATTCAGGCAAATAACCAGTGAGGTCCTTATTCCACCCTAGTTTAAGAATTTTTAGGTTTGGCAGATGAAAAATGTTCTTAGGAAACTCACCATACAATCCACAATTTTGCAGAAAAATGGCTTTCAAAGAAGTGAAATTTGCTAGGAAATCAGGAACTGTGGATGGTATGTGAACAGATGTGAGACGAAGCCACTCTAAGCTTGTTAAATTTTGAACCAGGCTCCTCAAACTGGGATAATTAAGTACCAACAATGGATAATAAGATGTGAAAGGATCAAAATGTGAAGATAGGTCGAGGAAAGTCAATTTGGAAAGACGTGAAATTTCTGTTGGAATTTGGCCATAAAACCGTGAATCTGAGAGGTTTAGATATGTCAAACCCAAAAACTGCCCAATTGCAGAAGGAATGAGAGAGTAACTGAAGTTATTATCAGCAAGATTCAACTTTTGGAGATGGACAAGATGGAAGAGGCTGCTACTGGAATTGATAGAGGCATAGAGACAACTGCTGTTGAGAATAAGGCCAATCACATGGCCCGTCTTCTCGTCACACTCGACGCCATCCCAAGAGCAGCAGTTGCTGCTTCCTCCTTGAGCTTTCCACGACAAGACCTTAGGATAAGCACCCTCATAAGAAGAAGCTAATTTTTCAATGACAAAGCTTTGCTTGAACTGCAACAACGCCAACCTCTCGTCGTCATGGCAAGACAACTGCGAAAAAGAAGTATTAAAAGAGTTAGGACCCCTTTGGGAGAGCCTGTGCTTTCACTTTTAAGCAGTAGAAGAAAGAAGCATAAGTCCAGACTTTTTAATTAGTATTTGAATTGTGCATGAAAAAGTGTTTTTTTTAATGTCATAAGAGCTTTTGAGCCGGTTTGGATAAATAAGTCAAAAACACTTATTATAATACAAGGATACGGATGGAATATTTAATTTGTTGTTCACAAATAAAATGTTAAACATGTAAATAAAAAAAATGATAAGCTCCTTTTTTTTATAAATACTAAGACCATCTCCAATATAAATATTAATGTCAATTGTATATTTAACATCAAAAAGTATGATATGATATGTTATTTTTATTTTTAATCCAATGCATAATGCTATTTAAAATGCTAAATTTACTTTTTTCTATAATTATTAAGCTTTGAAAGTTGTAAAAGTAAAGTTTTGTTTTTAAAATAATTAGAAAATGGAAAAGTTGCAATGATTATAAGAAAAAGTAAACATTTCAACTAATAGTTATCAAATGTCAAACTTCTCATATACTCTATGGAAAATTTACCAGAAAGTATAGCATATAGAAAATTTAGCACAACAAATAGTATTGCATTTGAGAGTATTTTTTACACTTAAATGTTAAATTTACAATTAACACATCAATTATAACATTGCATTGCAGATGCTCTAAAGATGTGACTTGTTGCAAAAGAGTATAAAAACTAAAAGCACTTTTAGAGTGTCTATCCAAATATCTTCAAAAGCAGTTTTGAGACTAAATAAGTCAAAGATGGCTTTTTTTAACGAATTTAAAAAGGCTATTAGCAACCATGCATGAGCAAAAAAAAGAAGCATTAAAAGAAGTAATGAGCACAAAAAAAAAAAAAAAAAAAAAAAAAAAAAAAAAAGAAACACAAAAAAGAAAAAGAAAGAAAGAGTTAGCAACCGTATGAACATGGAACGAGGAAAAGTTTAAGAATAGCAACACCAAGGAAGATAACCACAACAAGAAGTCCATAATATTGTTTTTTTTTTCTGTGATTTCTTTTATGTGAACTGAGCAAAAGTAGTAGAAGCAGGTCGAGATACTTATAGACACGATTTTAGATTCTTGAAGATAATTGTTGCCAGAAAAACCCAGGAGAGAAATTTTCATGACCACAAATGTTATAATCGTTTGATCATTTTCTTGAAAAGTCAAGTTTGCTTCATGTGCCGTCTTGTTGATCAGCATCTCTTTATTTCCTTGTTTTCAAGTTTGAGTCAAGTTGTTTGTAAATCAGACAACGCATACATTTCAACAAAATTATTAACTTACACGATACTAGTAAATGAGAGTGATGTCTAGTGGAATTGTGGAGACCACAAGTTCAAATGAGTTTGCATAGTAATTATTGTGAAATATTCATTGGGAAAGGGAAAAAAGCAAAAAAATAAATTAATAAATAAATAAACAAACTGCCTACGAAATTCATTGCCATATATACAATTGCAACAATCAACGATCGAAATCTTATCTTATTTTCACCCCTATTAAGATCGTGAAGATTTTAGAATCTCGACGATGTTAGTTGAAAAATCCAGAGATAACATGCCTTAAAGTGGTTATAGATTCCATAAAAAATATGTAGAAAATAGGTATTTCTTCTGAATTTGTATTAATTTTAAACAAAAACGAAATTGCATGAAACTAAAATTTAATTTGAAAAAAAGAATATATATATATATATATATATAGTTTTCTGGGGTAAAAATGTATATATTGTAATGTCATATCCAACATAATTGCATATGTAATTAAATAAACTTAATGATAAGAATCTAGAATATAATTCATGATCTTAAGTTGCTTGCAAAACAATATTAGTATATATTATTCTTACAGTACTGGTTATTGGCATATAAGTATTCATGATATTAAACTTTATAAAGACCACTTAAAAACTAATAAATTTCTCTTAGCGCATAATATGTAATTGCATTTGCTATGAATATTAAAGAGAGATATTGATTGAGGCCGTGCAATACACGCACATATACATTTCAAACGTCGTGAAATATTCATAGGGAAATATTAGCTAGCCGTAAATTATGGTTCAGAAGAGTCTCCTTTATATCAAAGGGGCAAAAAAACAAAAAACATGAAGAAGAAGTCAAAGTCGTCTAAGCGTATTTCTCTTGTACATATGCATATTGCCATAATAACAACATACATATATACATCTTATCTTATTACTTCTCCAAAATCTTATCTTCTAATTGTTTTGACGCATTATGAAATTCTGTCTGGACTAAAATAAATGAAATTCTGTTATTTAGCCAGCCATACATGAAAGATAAGAAAAGGTGACTTATTATGAACTTTCTAAACCTTTGTTTGGGCTAGAAGAATATTAAATTATCTCCACAAGTTGAGGTTGATATATTTGTTTGTATGTTTCCAAATATTACTCAGAAAAAATGTTGATAATTGAATTTATAAGCACTACATATAAACGACTGAAATTTAACCACAAGTACTTGAAACACCAAAATCTTAGTGAAGTATACTAAAATCAAGAATAACCACAATTGGGATTCTAATTATATTGTGATCACTTTAGATAAGCTTGGATGTTGCTAGAAGTATTATGGATTATAGAATTATTTATTCACACTCATATCGTAGTTTCCTCATGTTCATATTGTTTTCCTCGTTCTTGTATTTCGTTGCAGACAAATTAAGATCCCAATTAAATTGGCACCCAATTTCTATCTCATCCTGCACTAAATCCTTCACTCAATTTTATTAATGAAAAAATAAAGAAAAAATACAAGAAAGCTAAGGAAATAAAACTGCAAAAGCGGCATAAAAGCTTTTTTTTTTCTTTTTGCAGAAAAGTGAAATTTAATTAGAAAAGCGTATGCATCATTAGGAAAACAAAATAAAAGTTAAGGTCATTTTTTTATTAATTTTCATTAGTTCTTAAAGAAAACAGAATTAATGCATGAAACTGAAATTTAATTAAAAAAAATCATATATCGTTAAGTAACAAACTTTCATCATAATCATATATATATATATATATATGTAATTCAACATTAAAATCTTTCATCAAATATCAAATAATATAATTCATTTTTTTTATACAATATAATTCATTATTTTGTGTTGCTATAAAGTATATATATTACGTACGTGGATTATTATTACATGTGGTTCTTGCAATATATTACACCATGATTTTAAAATTGTAAAGAATTATCATTACCTGAAAGCTAATAAATCCTGATTTATCTTAACATGATATACTGCTGCACTATACTTGCTCTAAAAATTAAGGAGAGAGACTGATGGAAGCAAAAATTCTGCCATGCAAAATATGTATATAAATACATATATACTATATATTGATCACAAAACTTGCAAAATAATGAAAGAATCGTGGAATATTCATAGGAAAATATTTGTCGTACGTGAATATAAAATCCAATATAGTTTGACAAGTCAATTTAAGTTGTCTGCGCATTTCACAAGGCACGTGTAAGAAACTGCCATAATCCACACAAATATAAACCTCACCTCTCTGTACGTAATAATATATCTTTATAAATATCTTGTCTTGTCCCATTAGAACTTGAATAATAGGTATATCTGAGATTTACCATTAAAATTTGTATTATTCATTATTTTTCAAGTGATTCTAACTTGGATTTACCAAAGAAAAGGGAAAAATAGCAACAACAAAAAAAAAGGTTAAAAACATGAAATGGTCTATTAATTTTTATACATTTGTAAATTGGTCATTTACTTTCCTAAGTTTTAAATATAGGTCTATTTTCTACAATTTCCCATGTTATAAAATATGTGGCCCACACATATTAGGAAACGTGAATTTCCTAACACAAGGAACATGATGAATCAATAAAAAGAACAACAAGATAGAACGATTGAAGCCGCATCATTTCAGCAGAGGATTGTGAAACTTCAAAAGAACTGGTATTCTAAAAGCCTTTTTACAAATCATCCCCTCCTTTTTATGATCATCATGCGCGCGCCATGCATGAGCAACTCCAATGACAAACCCATTTGTACATATTCCTGCCGAAACAAATTTTCCATGCTTTTTGATAAGGTCTCTTTTCTTTTGTCTTTTTTTTTTGGTGAGTTAGAAGAGATAGATGATCCCTTCTCTATAGTTTCTGATGTTGCATTTGTCAGGTTGTTTGCCTCTGTGCAGCCTTTAAAATTAGCGGTTTAGATGTTTATTAAGCGATTTATTCTTCCTTTTGCGCTAGTCTCAACTTCTAACTCGACAACTTCACTTTAATTAGTCCACAAAATCAACCCGCATAAAGTTATCAATTCCCAATTTAAATAGTTTGGTTCATTGTTATCAGGAAATTAATAAGAAATATTTGTACGCCTAGCGCATGTACATATTATTGAATATACTATACGTCGCAATTAGCCTAACAAGATGCATATTATTGAACTCGGCTCATTTTCAAAATTAAAGAGAAAATCATTTGTGCGCATTCTAAATCACCATAAGGTAGAAAGTAGACTTGTTTCGAAGAATCTGACCATCTTTAAGCTTGTAAAACATACATCAATTTTGCTAATTACTAGCAAACAGTAGCTATACTCTCACATTGTTATGAGCAGAAATTATCGATAACTGAACACTAATTAAATTGATAAATCTCACATATCCACACCACAAATAACCGTAAAGAAACATCACAACAAAAACTTGACAAAAGAATCAGAAATCCTGATTTGTCCGCATTGTTATCATTCTTATAGAATTCAAGTATCTGACAATTCTACTTGTTTCTGTTTATAAACAACATAAACGACAATAAACCAACGTAATGACATATACTGGACGAACGACTGAAAAATAACACAACGTGAACGCGAGAAAGGACATCAATAACTAAACAAAACAATCAAGGTAAACGACAAAAGTATTATCATTACAAAACGACGGAACAAAGATTGTAGTGTGAATACGACATTAACAAATCAGGCAATAAGCAAATGAAAACAACAAAAAGACATGAGTACGAGGAGCCACAACACATCAATAAACGACATCAGTACGGTGTACAACAATGAACTCCCAAACTGTTAGACGATATAAACATGAGAAACAACAATAATATAGATAAATGATAATATTCTACATGAGCGACAATATCCTTATGAAACGACACAAACTGGTACTACCATTTAACTATTAATCAACTTTTTGTCATTAATTGAAATCTTTACAATAAAAAACTTGCAAAAGTCTTAAACCCCATGATTCACCCTCACTTTAGTAATCGAATTAAACCAATTTGTGATACAATTTATGTTTACAAAATCGATCATTCCCAAGAGAAAGAAACACAATCAGAAAAGTACGATACTACCCTTGATGTTACGACGAGAATCTCAATTGGTGGGATTTAAGCTTATATAAGCCGAAGCCAAATTTATTTTTCTGTTTATTTAAACACTAATTTTTTGATTTGGATGGAAAACTTGTTGTTTCATAAATTATGCACAACTTGAATAGTTCATAAAATTGTTTCGTTGCAAATTCTTCCTTTCAAGGATTTCTGCTATTAAACCTTGGAGTATTACAATTCAATGTCTTAATGAATCTGCCTTTTTTTCTTTTGCCTCAGCTGATTGTTTGAGGTTAGTTGTTGTTTGGTGCTAATCTTTATTTAGCTAGCCTAACAGAAGATTTGTTTTGAATTTATCATTCATTGTCTCGGACATACTTGTTAAAACAACATGTATTAGTACCATAACCATCTTGATAATGATGGGTTAAGATTGTTAAGCGAAAAAAAAAAAAAAAAAAAAAAAAAAAAAAACTACACGTGGGAGGTTGAAAAACTTCCTGGAAGAAGTGGATGTATAAAGAAAGAGTAAAATGTGTTAGTGGAGAGTTGGATAAAAAATAAGGTGAAGATAATTTCTCAAAGAGAAAAGCAATTAATCTTATTTAAATAATAATAAAAAAGGACGTGGGTTGCTTCAAAAATGCCTATATATAGGCATATAGGGGGATGAAACAAAAGAGGAAAGAAAAAAAAGGAGGACTTGGTGCGTGTGTGTGCAGAAGGGAGAGAGAAAACAAAACAAAAAAAGCAAAAAAAGCTTGTGTGGGTGCAACGTGTGTGCAGAAGAGAAGTGAGAGAAAGGAACGAAAAAGAAAAAATAAAAGTGTGTGTGCAGGTGAGGGGAGGTAACAAAAAAAAAAGAACTTTTTGCAAATGAATGTGTGTAGAGAGAATTATTAAAAAAAAAGGTAGAAAATTTGTCATTTATTCATCTATCTTAATCTATATTTTGTCAACCCGTTTCTCAAGACAAGAAGTTCATCTGTTATTGTTGGTCAGATTCATGTTTTAAATATACGGGTTGCAAACTTTTGAATCCAGTCAAAAATTATGAGGTTGTAAGTTTTAGAACTTTTAAAAAATCAAATAGAGTTACAAATTTTAGACACGATTTTAGATTCTTGAAGATAATTGTTGCCAGAAAAACTCAGGAGAGAAATTTTCATGACCACAAATGTTATAATCTTCTGATCATTTTCTTGAAAAGTCAAGTTTGCTTCATGTGCCGTCTTGTTGATCAGCATCTCTTTATTTCCTTGGTTTCAAGTTTGAGTCAGGTAGTTTGTAAATCAGACAACGCATACATTTCAACAAAACTATCAACTTACACGATACTAGTAAATGAGAGTGATGTCTAGTGGAATTGTGGAGACCACTAGTTCAAATGAGTTTGCATAGTAATTATCGTGAAATATTCATTGGGAAAGGAAAAAAAGTAAATAAATAAATAAACTGCCTACGAATTTCACCGCCATATATAAAATTGCAGCAATCAACGATCAAAATCTTATCTTATTTTCACCCTTGTTAAGATCGTGGAGATTCTTGCGGAGATTTTGGAATATCAACGATGTTAGTTAAAAAATCCAGAGATAACACACCTTAAGTGGTTATAGATTCCATAAAAAAATGTAGAAAATAGGTCATTCTTCTGAATTTGCATTAAAATATTAAGCAAAAACCAAATTGCATGAAACTAAAATTTAATTTGAAAAAAAAAGGAATTTATATATAGTTTTTTGGGGTAAAAATTTATATATTGTAATGCCATATCCAACATAATTACATATGTAATTAAACAAACTTAATGATAAGAATCTAGAATATAATTCATGATCATAAGTTGCTTGCAAAACAATATTAGTATATATTATTCTTACAGTACTGGTTATTGGCATATAAGTATTCATGATATTAAACTCTATAAAGATCACATAAAAACTAATAAATTTCTCTTTGCGCATAATATGTAATTGCATTTGCTATGAATATTAACGAGAGATATTGATTGAGGCCGTGCAATACACCAACATTTAGAAGAGTCTCCTTCATATCAAAGGAAAAAAAAAAAAAAAAAAAAAAAAAAAAAAAAGAAGAAGAAGAAGAAGAAGAAGTCAAAGTCGTCTAAGCGTATTTCTTTTGTACATATGCATATTGCCATAATAACACCATACATATATACATCTTATTTTATTACTTCTCCAAAATTTTATCTTCTAATTGTCTTGACGCATTAAGACTTGACTAAAATAAACGAAAGATGCGAAAAGGTGACTTATTATGAACTTTCTAAACCTTTTTTTGGGCTAGAAGAATATTAAATTATCTCCACAAGTTGAGGTTGATATATTTGTTTGTATGTTTCAGAATATTACTCAGAAAAAATGTTGATAATTAAATTTATAAGCACTACATATAAATGACTGAAATTTGACCACAAGTACTTGAAACATCAAAATCTTAGTGAAGTGTACTAAAATCAAGAATAACAACAATTGGGATTCTAATTATCTTGTGATCACTTTAGATAAGCTTGGATGTTACTAGAAGTATTATGGACCTTGTATAGAATTACTTATTCACACTCATATCGTAGTTTCCTCATGTTCATATTGTTTTCCTCGTTCTTCTATTTTGTTGCAGACAAATTAAGATCCCAATTAAATTGGCACCCAATTTGACGGAACTAATGGAAATTAATGGATTAGTTGATATTGTTAGCATAAAAGAGGGGAGAGATTTTTTTTTTTGTTTTAATATCATCATGTTAAAAGTCAAACGTGTCCAATGCGTTACATTGTGAAACCTTATTGTAATACCCATTTTTCTAACTGATAAATTCGTAGAAATAGACGTTAGAAATTAACATAAATGATTATGAAACCTTATTGTAATACCCATTTTTCTAACTGACAAATTCGTAAAAAATACACGTTAGAAATTAACATGAATGATGTTATCGTGTTATAATTAGTTAATTCTAACATTACGTTGAGTTATATTCTGCAGGTGAACGCGACGAGGACTCGTAATGTAAGAACAAGTTCATGCCAAACTGTTAAATTTTATGTGATGATTTGATGGAAATGTGTGTTGATTTAATACCATTAATAGATTATACAAATATATAGTATTACAAAATACATATTAGATATAACTTACACAAGTTGTATTTTTTAGGAATTTTTAAACTTACACAAGCACAATGTTAGCATTCAATTTCAGTAATTGTTCAAATCCCATTTGGCACTGGATTCCCAAATCCCACATTGATTCCTTGTTCACTTGAAACAAGCAATACAAGTGCATAACTCAGTGATGTATCTGTCCCCTATTTTCAGGATACTTGTCCTGCTTTTGTGTTTAATAAAAAGAAATAACACGAAGATTGTAAGCATTGAACATAAATGAAAATGCTCAATGCCAGGAAATACAACACAAGCATTAAGAGCCTCGACACTTCCACTTGCTGCATTAAGATTGTAAGTACTGACCCTTCTTAGGTAGCTAACGAATTCTGTAACTGTGAACAAGGAAACCTCGAGAAGAAAACTATTATCAGATTTATGAGATTAAATACAAAACCCACAAATGTTTCACAAGAGTCTTCATGGTATATACACTCGCATCCAAGATGACTCCTGACAATCATTGAACGAATCTTGGGTATGAAAAACACTCCGAATACTATTTTGGAGCAGTTTAATGAATTCCGAAAAGTCACTCTACAATGCTGTTGTGGCCAGTAGCAATGATATTTAGTAGTCTTCAGAGCATAAGCCATTATCTTCTAGCAAAAACATAAGAATCCCAGGCGACTATCCAGGTACTCTAAAGAGGATCTCATTGCCTTGCACAAAAGGTTCGCCTTTCAGTTCTAATTCTTCTGGATCAAGTTCTCAGACAAGCTTCTCCATGATGTTATGAACATGCTAGTCCAAGACTTATATCAGAAACACTCTAAATACAGTTTTGGAGCCGCTGGGTGAATCTCAAAAACGCGCTTTATGAACTGCTTTTCATCAGGATAAATCACGGTTGAAATGGCAGATTTCTTCGTATATAAGCCAGTCTTCCTAAGCCAAACATAGAATCTGTATCTGCGCTTAGTCCGATTCTCCAAGTCAAAACACAAAAATCCTGGGACTTTCTCTAGTTCCTGTATAGAGGATCCAAGTTCCTGGCACCAAAAGTTCAACTTCCGTTCCACTTTCTTGTGGCCCTGATTTAGTATCTTGGGCTTCGTTCTTATCATCAAACAGAGGTTTGAGTGCTTGAAACCTTTGCTGAGAAGGAAATCAAATCTCCTTTGTAGCTCACTCCCATAGCCACACAAGATATTTAGGACCTTCAAAGTCAAAGCATTCTCTCCAAACCAATTTGTTTCAAGAAATCCAGTTTATTCATAGTATGGGCGCGACACTTTGAAGATTCGATTCTCTTCAAGCCATCTAAAAACTCCTTATTCATATCTTCATCATGGCAACCAATGGAATACATTGCCAATATCTGACCATTTGAACTCCTAATCTTGTCGAAGCACCATTCATGCAGATCCAAAGCCTTCATTACATGAGGTAAATTTTCCATTTTGTTTCTCCCCAACACATGAGGGTACTTGGAAAAATAAGTTCTTTCCTCTTACACATTAGTTCTCCTACCTTCCCCTTCTTGCAACCCAAATCATAAAACACCCTAACTTTCCTACAAAGCTCATACCAAGTATCCACATTTTCCTCCACACAACTTCTCGCCAATTCAAAATTCTGAAAAACCATTTCCAAGTCCTCAAAAACCGCCTCGATACAACCACCCGATTGGCCTTCCACACTCAACAAGTAAGGGAAAGCCAAGCATACACCAACCACACAAAGATTATCATAACCAAACCTTTCTTTAAATCCATTAAGCCTATCAGTTAACTCATCACCAGACATGCTAAAAATCGAAACTTCCTCTCTATACAAAACCCCCAACTTATTCCACGGAAATCCAAACTGAATAAGCTCTAAAGAAGCATCTAGAACATTTGAATCCTCGGAAAAGAAAAACGTGTTCTTTGGCAAAAACAAATGAACATCTTGACGATCTATGCCAATGCTTTCGAGGAAAAATTCAAATTCGTTAACGGGGTGATACCTGAGGAGGCTTTCGAAGCTTTCGGAGAAGGTGAAAGCGGAGAAGCGAATCTTGCGAATGAGGTCGGAGAGGGCGAAGAAAGAATTGGCGGCAATTTGCTCGGCGAAGATGAAAGGCAAGCCTCTGGTGTCGTGGAGATAGTCGGTTAGGGCTTTCTGAGCTTCCTTGAGAGCTCTGAGCTTGTGAATGGGGTGAATGTTGTTGGTTCCTCGGATTACTGGAAGCTTCCTGGCGGCGGCGGCGGCGGCGTAAGAGGAGGAAGAGAAATTGCGGGAGAGGAAAGTGAATAGGGATTTCGGAAGGGGCATGGTCAGGTGCGAGGACTTTTTGAGGAGAGAGAAGGGAATCGGATTTTAGAGAGAGAAAATTAAGAAGCTTTCATGGGGGTTGCAGAAGATAAGAGTGTCCTTGGAATTTGGAAACTTGGAAGACATCGTTGAGGGAGGCGCTGTAGAAAGTCGTCGTCCTAATTCTTTGCCGTTTTCTTTTATAAATCCTTTTTTTCTTTTCTTTCTTTGTTTTTTTTTTTTTTTGAAGGATAAATAAATCCTTTTTTCGGCATATAAATAAATAAAAAATCCAAAACCTTTTTACACGCAAAATAAATTAAAGTCCATTTAAAAGATTTAGGCCTCGTTCATTTCACTGATTCGAGTTTTCAGTTTTAAGTTTTTACAGTAAAAAATTATTAAAAAATATCACATCTAACTTTTTTTGTTACAGTAAAAAACTCTCATAAAATGTCACATCTAAACTCGAATCCGCAAAGTGAACAGACTTAGGGTCCGTTCACTTCGCTGATTCGAGTTTTTAATTTGAGTTGAGATGTGATTTTATGTGAGAGCTTTTTACTGTAGCAAAAAAGTTAAATGTGATTATTTATGAGAGTTTTTTACTGTAATAAAACTTGAATTCTAAACTCGAATTAGTGAAGTGAACGGGCTTTATTTTTTAAAAATATCTGTCATTTTATTTAGCATTTTCGGCTGTCGCTTTCCTGTTGATGTCGTTTTTTGATAACTTTGTCGTTTTTTTACTTAGAGTTGAGATACTTTCAAAAATAATAGTAAATAAATAACAACTATCTGTGTAACGCATTGTTCTCCGAAATTTTCTTCCCCATTGCTAGGGGTTGAAAAACCTTGGACTCGTTAAGGAGTTTTGATCTCTATAAAATTTTGATTGAAGAGTAAAAGACATACAATTATTTTTGGGTAATTTTGATAAATACTCTTTAAAAGTATGTGGGTCAGGGGTAAAAATCCATGTGCTTGATTCATAACTTTTTTAGTCAAATAATTACACTAATAAAATGATATTTATCAAGAATAAGGAGTAAAAATTCAGACTCATATACTTTTAAATATAAACTCTCCATTTTTTCTTTTTGTATTGTTGTATATGAATAGCTATTTTCTAACACGCTTAAGAGCTTAAGATTCTCTAGTCATTTATGGTATATGATTTATTGAGAAATTCTAAGTCCTTTAAAAATCCCAAGTTTAATCTCATGTGAGGGGATTAAATAAAGGAATCCATGTGCTTTTTAATTTGTGTCAATCTTTAGTATAAAATCACATATGGATTTCTATACTATCTAGTAACACTAGTTATTGCAATTTTTATGCTACCCTTAATTGTGTATATGACATTAGAAAACATACATGCAAATCAGTGTTATACGACAGTGGAAAGCTTTCGCAATTCCTCTCCAATGGATCTCCGCATAACCCAAGGTCTAGCATTGTGAGTTGGGTGAGTTTACCGAATAAAGATGGAATAGAGCCGAAAAAGTTGCAACCATAAAGAGCTAAAAAAAATTTGTTTCTAGCAAACAAAGGAAGCAAAAAATAAAGAAAATGGAGAATTCTTTAGTAATGTATGAAAATTTTCATACCTCTGCTGATGGGATACATTTTGGAATGGGTTCATATGCTCTTTTTTCTTGTTCTCTTTCATGTCCCCCAGTAATAACATATCACGTCATAACTTTTTAATTTACGTGATAAAATTTTTTTAATTGATGTGTCACAATATTATTGGAAATATATGAAAAGAGACATGAATAAGAGAACGCATGAGTTGGTTCTATACATTCTTAACCGGTGAATAAAGTAAGAATCATAACAGATTAAATAAAACAAAATAATTTAACATAACACAATAAAGACCTAATTGTTAAAAATTATGTCTTACTAGGTTTTTTTTTTCATATTCTATTATAGAATTCTCTCAAGAAAAGATTTTTCTTAGAATAGTCAAAAAAAATAACAGTAACTCTATACACAAGGCAAGTGACCCCGTGTTTTATGTTTATGGCATGACTGAAAAATTTATCGAAGAAATTATTGTATAAGATGAAATTTTTTGGAATTCTCTTTATTATAAATATGAATACTTTTATGATAAGTATTTGTTGATATTACTATTGAATAACAAAGTATAAGCTAAAACTTAGAAATTTTTGAACTATGATGTAGTTACTAGAATTAGCTGCAGTAAATGATGTATTTCATGTCTCGATGTTAAAAAAGTATGTACCAGATCCATCCCATGTTATAGAACATGAACTTATCCAAATTCATGAAGACATGTCTTATGAGGAATAACCGGTGCAGATTCTTACACGAGAAGAACAACGCCTTTGGAATCGAAGTATTCCACTTGTTAAATTTCTGTGAAGAAATCAAGAAGTGAAAGAAGTAATATGGGAACGTGAAGATGAGATGATAGAGAAATACCCCCATTTGTTCTGATTTTCGAGAACGAAAATTTATAAAGAGGGGTGATTGTCATGACTGGGAAATTTATCAAAGAAATTATTGTATAAGATGAAATTTTTTGAAATTTTCTGTATTATAAATATGAATATTTTTATGATAAGTATATGTTGATATTACTATCGAATAACAAAGTATAAGCTAAAAGTTAGAAATTTTTGAATTATGATGCAGTTACCAAAATTCAGACTGTAATCAAGAAAGAGGCTCGGAATGTTGTGTCAATCCCACAATAGGACAAACACATGAATATTAAGTTTAAGGAATGAAAAGGAATTAAAACACATCAGTTCTAGGGTTTTAGAATGTTAGTTTTCGAAATGTTTTCGAGTGCAGAAGCGTGGTAGTGCGGATCGTGTATAATAAAAAATTTTCACAAAACCTTTTGAATACGCTATAGATTATATTAATTTATGTCAAAATAAATTAATCTCATTAATATGTAAGAAAAAAATACCTTGTTAACGATTAGAAATATAACTTGTTTTCTTTAGCCAACGAACGTTTCTCGCTCCAAAAGCTTTCTTAGAACACCTAAGCTTCCTCGTCTACTCCTTGATTTCGCAAGACGATGAGTGTGGGCTTAAGGTATATACTATTGGAACGATCACTCACTAATTTAGTATTCTTTCACTATCAGCGCATGTATGTGAAATAATTGGAAAAATTGGAATAACTTTTCTTCTCTTTTTCTCTCTTAGGGAATTCGGCCAAAGTAAGCAAAATAGGAGAAAAATCAATCAAACTTCTCTAATTCCTATTTTGCTTGTAGACAAAGAAAAAAAGAAATTAGTAACTACTACATTTTTAATCTCATTAAAAATACAGTTTCTAATTTTATTTTTGGAAACAAAATTTCCTTCCCTTTTCTTATCATGTGGCGGGCCATCTCCTAGGAAGGAAAGAGAAAATTCCTTCTTAATCTAGTTTTCAATTTTAGCTTAAATTAAACTCCAAATAAAGTAAAATATTGCTTTCCCTTTTGAATTTAATTGGAGAACTTGTTTAACAAGTAAACTGGATTAATTGGAGAGCAAGTAACTAAATCTCAGTGGGATTATTCCCAGTGTCACACCTGTGGTCCCACCACAGTGTATGAAAAAATAATTAAATAATCACATTATTTAATATATAATTAATTCTCAATTAATTAATTATTCACGAGTGAAATGAAATCTCGATAATTCATCTTGTCTTGCAAATAATACAAGGATGACGGGGGATTTATGGACCTATAATTCTGAGCTCTAATAAAATTAATAATTAATTAAATTCTTTAATTAATGAATTAATTATTCTATTAATTTTAAAAGTTACTCCACTAAAAATTTAGAATTGCACTCTCGAAATTATAGACATAATTTACTTCTAAGAACTTGAAGTGTCTATTTGATATAGTCAATACATATAGATCGATCCTCCATAAATAATTCATAATTAGAGCTAGGTAAAATTCGTTAACCTCTCTAATTACATCTTTATCCTTGAGTACTATTGATTCTCTAATGAACAGTATATTCATAAAACACATTCATGAATATGAGCTCGTTACTTATTCAACGAATCAACCCTCATGGGAATTATTTATCTGCTTCTTCAAAGAAGAAAGAATGGGTTCCATCTTGTAAATTCGTATTCCCGGCTATCCATTTCATCATGTTCCCAAGATACAAAGAATAGGATTTAGCAACTCGAAATCCGTACCAGGTAAGTCAAAGAATACAAATCCACAAATAGGAGTCTACCAATAACTTAGGATTAAGATCATTCTATATATATTCATCGGTAGACTCAAATTTGATTTTCTATATTTAACGAAAATTATCATAAAATCAAATTGTGTATGTATCTAATTTTTACATAATCTCATTATGCATAATACACTCATTCAATATCCTTCTATATTAATGATGCGGATAACACCATTTCATTCTTAATGGGAATGACATGTATTAGTAATGTTTTAATTAAATATTCTAAAAAATTTTAATTAAATTCATTACAAACATCGTTTCGATTATTATCTTTAAATATTATCCTCTCGTATATAACACTTATATACAATATTTAAGGTTACATAAATAATCACATAATTTTTAATGATATTCATAAAGTATTCAATAATACATGCACATAAATAATGAATCAACTATTTATTAATCAAATAATAAAATATCCTTGTTACATCTCATGCTTAAGGACACCAATCCCAACATAGAGACAATCAGAACGGAAAACGGACGAAAAAGGGGTTCGGAAGGCTGAACTGAGAAAATTAGAATTTTTGACCTATTAAAGTTGACCGAGTCAAAATTTGTTGACCAAGAGTCGACCAATAGGTCACTCTTGAAAAGTTAGTTAAGGTTGAATAAAGTTGACTAAGTTGACCAACTGACTGAAAAACGCAGATAAAAAGCACACCGAATAAGAATTAAACTGAACCGAAATAAGATAGTTATTACAAATGAATGGTTGAGATTTAAAGTGATTAATGGATGGAGGACTGAGATTAGGACACCTAAAAAGAGAGGATATGGCCAGCTAAGACTTAGGGGAAACGCCAAATAGATATTTTGATATTTTTACAAAAAAGATCCTAAAAAATGTCAAAATTACACCTAGGTCCCTCATTTCTTTTGTGAACGTTTTTAGAAGGAAAAAATACAAGAAAAGTGTCCATTTTCATGCATAACAACAGAGAGAACTCAGCCAAAAGAAGAGAGGAAAAAAAAATTTTCAAAGTGAGAAAATCGAGTTCAAATCAAAATTGGCGGAAAACTACCGTTGATTAGCGTCACTGGAACTTGTTCTTCATTCTTCTAAGGTAAAATTTCAATTTTTCTCCTCATTTTTCACCTTGGCTGCACGTCCATGAATAGTGGAATCCATGAAAAAATTTTGCTAAGAATGATGATTGGCTTGTGGTTATGAATGGTACCGAAAAACCTAATGTCTAAAGGTTAAATTATTGGTTATTCGATTATGTTTTTAGCATTTTTGTTTAGGGAGAACTCTTGTGAGAACAGTGAAGGAACCCAAGAGATTATGATGTTTATGATGATAAAAAGGAATGAGAATGATTATGTGATGTGTTTGAAAGGTTGAAATCACGGATTAAACGAGCTATAGTTAGCTCAGAAAACCTGAAAATTAGGCAGAACTTCGCTGAAATTAAGTTAGAAGATTTGAACTAAAATCAGTTGCAATGAAGAATAGGAGGATTAAGATGCGTAAAAATAAGTTGAATAGGTTATTAAAGATGTGTAGAAAGCATAACACGATGAAATGAAAGAAAAGAAAGCATGACAGGATGAATGAAAGAAAAGAACGCATAATACAATAAATGCTTTAAATGTTTAGAAAATGTGCTAGGATGTATGACATGAATGCATATATGGGTATGCATTACTGATTACACTTGTTGTGGTCTGCTGATACTTACTGAGCGAAAGCTCATCCCATTTGTTCGTGTTGTAGGAAGCTCGGGTAAGGCACTGGCTCCCTGAAACCTGATGTTGGCCGTGTAGAAAAGGATGTAGTGGTGAAGTGTGGGCAAATGGGTAATGGATACACCACGTAATTTCGTATGCTGCTAAGTGTTTCTAGTAAACAATATTTACGGATGTAAATAAATTATGTAATGAAAGTAAAGTTTGTGAGACAATGAGGCTATGCTTAGCAATCTCAAGTCACAAAGTATGTTAATGTACTCAAAATGCTATCATGTTTGGAAGTTGAAAATGTTTTTTTTTTTTTAAGTATTTTTAATATTCGAGTTTTACTATAAGATACTAATAGAAGTTTTATCCCGACAAAGTATATTAGTATTTATTTCACTAATAAAGAGAAATAAAAAGTAGCATAAATTTTAGAAATCTATAATTTTAAAGTAGTTGAAGTTAAAATATGAGTTAAATATGAATGTAGTATGATGATCAGAAATAAAGGTGGTCACAATTTATTCTTTTCTAAAAATTTAAAAAACAAAAACAAAAACAAACAAACAAAAACATGCAAACAAACAAAAACAAACAACGAGAGACCTACGGAAATGATTGTTTTCGAAGAGAAACAGCCACTTCAACTTGAAATTCACGAATTAAAACGCCTACATATAATATATATATATATATAGTTACCTTGAAATTGACACGCTACGAAAAGTCTAAGACGACTATATATATGGCTCTAAGTTGACAATCTCAAGTCCTAAGTCTTAAGAAATTGACTATATACACAAGTTTCTTAAATCTTAAGTATCTATTAACACATATATATATATATATATATAGTTACCTTGAAATTGACACAATACGAAAAGTTGAAGACGACTATATATATGGCTCTAAGTTTACAATCTCAAGTCTTAAGTCTTAAGAAATTGACTATATACACAAGTTTCTTAAATCTTAAGTCTCTCTTAACTTAAATACTTGCCTCTAGCTTTCATTCAAGTTCTATAACCAAAACTGTCAAGAAAATCAAGAAGCAGCCATGGATTTCTGCGTAAGAATGGCATCACAAGTGATGCTTAACGAGATAACTAGCAACAAAGACGGTTCTAATTCAAAGAATGTTGTGTTGTCTCCTTTATCAATCAATATGGTCCTTAACATGCTCGCTTCTGGCTCTTCAGGCAAAACTTCGGAGCAATTCTTGGACATTCTTGGCTCCAGAGACCTCAATGATCTCAACTCTAATTCTTCAACCATCATGTCCCTTCTCGTGGATACGACCCAAAATGATACTGTGGAGCCTCCAATGGCCGAGCCTGTTCATATAATAGTAAGACACAGAAAGGGACTTCTTTCAGTTCCCAACAAACGACAAGGAAAAGCGCCAGTCTTTAATTTGGTCAACGCCCTTTGGGTTGATCATCGTTACCCTTTGATTCACTCTTATAAAGAGATTACTAATACCATCTACAAAGCACAAGTCAAGAATGTTGATTTGGTTCATGAGGTACACTTTTTTTTTCCCGGACTCTATTAATTTGTTGCATTCAAATAATATTTTTCACCCACCTTTCGTGTGTATATATAAAATTATAAATAGATCATGGGTTTTTGATGTGGTGGAGTTTTCCTTTGTTTTTGGTTTTAAGATTTGTATATTTCTTTAAGCCTTCCCCTTCTAGGCTTCTACTGAAATAGGAGTCTCTTTTCTTTCTCAAACAAACAAGATTCGGCATAAAATTATAAATGATGTTGTATGTTCTGTTTCCCTTTTTATAAAATAAATATGACAATCATTGATAATTTGTAAACAACAGGCTGAACAAGTTAAGAAGGAGGTGAACTCATGGGCTGCAAAGGAGACAAAAGGGCTCATCAAAGAGATCGTGCCGCAGCAATCAAAACTCTCACCGCCACTGTGTCTCGCAAACGCGTTGTATTTTAAAGGAGATTGGGTAAGTCCATTTGATACTAAAGTCACTCGTGATGAAGATTTTCACCTTCTCAATGGAAAAACTACCAAAGTTCCTTTCATGTCTGAGTATTACAAATACCGCCAATATGGATCATTTAAGGATTTCAAGCTTCTGAAACTCTCATATGAGACTGGCCAGTGCAAAAGTAAGCAGTTCTCGATGTACATCTTTCTCCCTCATGCAAATGATGGACTAAAAGATCTCATTGAAAAATTCAATTCCGATCCAACATTATTTCTGCAACCTACACAGTTTAGTCTCCGAGAACAGGAACTTTCCATGCTAAAGATACCGAAGATGAAATTCACGTATGATTTCGATGTGCAAGAGCACATGAAAGTAAAAGGATTAACATTGCCTTTTGATCCACTGCATGCTGATTTCACAAACATGGTTGATCCTCGAGGGGTTTTTGTGGATTCCATTCTTCACAAGGCTTGCATTGAAGTTAATGAAGAAGGCACAGAGGCTGCCGCAGTCACCGGTGCCAGGATGATGACAATGTCACTAAAACCGAGTTTTGTGGCTGACCATCCCTTCATGTTCATGATCGTCGAAGACTTTTCTAAGCTTGTTGTGTTCACTGGAGCAGTGGTTAATCCCCTCTTGGATTGATCATTGAACAGTAGAGTTAAATCCTTGAGTAATTTGAGTAATAAAATTCCCGTAAATTTGGCTTTGAAGATCACTTTCATGCCAAAGTTAGTTTGTTAATCAGAACTTGCAATAGAAGTATATGCTTTATGTTTGTTTTTTGTTATCTAGATGCTCTATGTTTTGTTGACGTGCTTAGTTGATTTCTTTTCCTTGGTTAAAAGTTCAAGCATGCATCATTAAAGCACGGTCGCACATTTTCCTCCACTTTTGTTAGCCAATTTTACTAACAGTTTTCAAACTGCGTAAGAAAAGAGACATATAATTAGTCCACATGGAGCACAGAGTTTCACAGTGAATAGAAGCACACAAATCTTGCATAACGAGTATCTCTTGGAACATAAGCCAATCTCTCTAAGCAAAACGTAAAATCTGTATCTGCATTTACTCCGGATCTCCGTGTCAAAAGACAAATAATGAGAAATCTTTGAGTTGCTGTAATGAAGATGCCATTTCCTAGCAGAAAATTTTCACCCTCTGATATTATAGTTCTGGGCTTAGATTACGACATTTTGCGAGGAACCACGCCCCCTAATCCTAATATTGCAGGAGTTTGTCTCACAAGTAACAATTCAATTGTCTCTGTAACTTAGGGTTTTTTGAGGGCTTGTTCGTTTGCACTTAAACTCAAAAAAAGTTTAAATTCGAGTTACAATTTTATTCAAGTTCATGTTCTTTTGTAAAATTTGAGTTTGAACTTGAGTTTTAACTTAAATTTTAACTTGAATTTGAGGTTAAAATCTGAATTCAAGTTTCCCCTTCAACTCAAGTTTCTAAACTCAAACTCAAGTTAATAAACAATATTTTTTCTATTCTTAAAAATACTATAACTTTTTCATTTTAATTCCGATTGAGATTATTCTTTTTTTTATGCGTTCAAAACAAAAAGACGAATAAAACCTCACCCATATACCTTATTAAAATTTTCCTTCATCATTGAGTTTTTATTAAAATACTATCTAAATACAAACTCAAATTTTGACCCACCCAAACACTAACTCAAAAAGATTCTCATCTCAAACCATGACTCAAATGTACACAACCAACCACAAACTCAAGTTACAACTTCAACTCAAATTGTAACTCAAATTCAACTCAAGATCTACATTCAAGTCATCATAACTCAAAAATACAACTGAACAAGCCCTGAAATACTAACATGAACGTCTAAAACAAGTGCATCATGTGTAGCTGATGAAAAGATCGAGAATTTTGACAAATACATGTAAAACCGATAAACTTTCAAAAACACAACGTTTGTATTCAATTTCAGATCCCATTCGGCTCAAAATTCCCAAATCCAAGCTGTATAGACTATAAAGTGCATAACTCAGGGTGATGAATCTTTCCCTTATTTTCAAAGGATACCTGTCCTGTCTTTTCTTCGAATAAAAATGAAAATACGACACAATTACAAGGTTGACTTCTCAACCATAAGGAGCCTTGCAGTTCCACTTGCGCGCTAAGATTGTCAGCATTGACCCTTCTTAGGTAGCGAACAAATTCAGTGCCAGCATCGTCATCGTGAACCAGAATCCTCATGAAGAAAACTATTATCACCTCTGTGAGAGCCTTCATGTTATGCACACTCAAATCCGAGATGCCTCCTGGCAATCATTGAATAAGTCTTTTGTATGGGAAACACTCCAAATAACATTTTGGAGCAGCTCATTGAATTCAAAAAGGGCCAGCCACGACACCTTTGTGGGCCAGTGGCAATGATATTTGCAAGGGATTTATGTTATTTGTACCGGTAACTGGTTTATGGATGAGTGATCTTGGAGTAGTCGGTCTGGCTTTGAATCTACGTGCTTATGACTTCGTTTCTCAGGAAATCCGTGCAGCGGAAGATCTTGAATTTGAGACTTTCTACACCAAAAATATTCTCTTAAACGAGAGTATTCGTGCTTGGATGGCGGCTCAAGATCAGCCTAATGAAAACCTTATATTCCCTGAGGAGGTTCTACCCCGTGGAAACGCTCTTTAATAGAACTTTAGCTTTAGCTGGTCGTGACCAAGAAACCACTGGTTTCGCTTGGTGGGCCGGGAATGCCCGATTATTCTTAAGAGCATAAGCCATTCTGTCCGTGCCAAAGATAAGACAGATTTAATTTGGGTTCCCCAAGTCAAAACACAACAATCCTGGGAGACTATCCAGGTACTCTAAAGAGGATCTCACTTCCTTGCACAAAAGGTTCGCCTTTCAGTTTTAATTTTTATGGGTCAAGTTCACAGACAAGCTTCTCCATGATGTTATGAACACAGTGGAACAAGGCTTAAATCAGAGATGTCTCGCAATCACTGACAGTTATTTTTTATATTAGAAACATTCTAAATACCTTTTTGGAGCAGCTGGGTGAATCTCAAAAAGACGCTTTATGAACTGCTTTTCACCGGGATAAAGCATGGATGAAATGGCGTATTTCTTCGTATATAAGCCAGTCTTCCTAAGCCAAACATAAAATCTGTATCTGCGCTTAATCCGATTCTCCAAGTCAAAACCCAAAAACCCTGGGACTGTCTCTATTTCCTGTATAGAAGATCCAATTTCCTGGCACCAAAAGTTCAACTTCGGTTCCAAATTCTCGGGGCACATATTTAGTATATCGGGCTTCGTTCTTATCATCAAACAGAGGTTTGAGTGCTTGAAACCTTTGCTGATAAGGAAATCAAATCTGCTTTGTAGCTCACTCCTAGAGCCAGCCACGATGTTTAGGACATTCAAACTCAAAGCATTCTCTCCAAACCCGATTTGTTTCAAGAAATCCAGTTTATTCATCTTATGGGTGGGATACCTTGAAGATTTGATTTTCTTCAAGCCATCTAAAAACACCTTATTCATATCTTCATCAGGGAAACCAATGGAATACATTGCCAATATCTGACCATTTGAACTCCTAATCTTGTCGAAGCACCATTCATGCAGATCCAAAGCCTTCATTACATGAGGTAAATTTTCCATTTTGTTCCTCCCCAACACATGAGGATACTTCTCACTAACACTCTGCAACTCTTCTACGCCCATTCCAAAATGTTTGAGCAATCCCAACACCGATATCATCCGCGTTTCGAAATCAAGATTCAAAATTTCTCGATGCTGAAGAAGAAACAACAGCACATAATCCTTTCCAACACCGAACTTTGCAAAGTAGTCCACTTTCCGGACTAAAACCTCTTTTGGGCATTCAAGAAAAATTTCTTTCCTATCACACATTAATTCTCCTACCTTCCCCTTCTCAAAACCTAAATCATACAACACCCTGACTTTACAACAAAGCTCATACCAAGCATCCACATTTCCCTCAACACATCTTCCCATTCCAAATCCTCGAAAAACCATTTCCAAATCCTCGATACAACCACCCGATTCTCCTTCCACACTCAACAAGTAAGGGAAAGCCAAGCATACACCAACCACACAAAGATGATCATAACCAAACCTTTCTTTAAATCCATTAAGCCTATCAGTTAACTCATCACCAGACATGCTAAAAATCGAAACTTCCTCTCTATACAAAACACCCAACTTATTCCACGGAAACCCAAACTGAATAAGCGCTAAAGAAGCGTCTAGAACAGTCGAATCCTCGGATAAGAAAAACTTCTTCTTCGGTAAAAACAAATGAACATCTTGACGATCAATGCCGATGCTTTCAAAGAAAAATTCGAATTCGTTAATGGGGTGATACCTGAGGAACCTTCGGAAGGCGTCGGAGAAGGTGAAAGCGGAGAAGTGAATCTTGCGAATGATATCTGAGAGGGCAACGAGAGAATTGGCGGAGATTTGCTCGGCGAAGAGGAAGGGCAATCCTCTGGTGGCGTGGAGATATTCGGTGAGGGCGTTCCGGGCTTGTTTGAGAGCTCTGATTTTGTACTGAGTGGCGCTATTGTAGTTGTTGCCTTTGATTATTGGGAGGGTTCTGGTTGTGGAAGACGAGAAGTTGCGGGACAGGAAGCTGAGGAAGAGAGAGAAGCGAGAAGCTTTAATGGGAAGGGTCATGGGTTTAGAGCTTTTAGAGAGAGAAAGTTTGAGAAGCTTTAATGGAAGTTGCAGAAGAAGAGTTAGTTGGAGGAGGCGCTGATCTGAAGAAGAGAACCTGGAAAAGTGTAATGGATGTTTTCTTTTTTTTTTCTCTCTCTCAACAACTGTAATGATTTTTTTTTTTTTTTTTTTTTTTGGTAGGGAGAGATTGAGAAGCTTTAACAATATATTTGTGACATTGTCGTTTTTTTCTTTTTTTTTTTTTTTTGCAAGCATGTATTTTTTTTTTCTCGTTTTATCATTTTGCAGTCGTTTTACAGGTAATTTCTGTTCCAGCCATATATTGTCGTTTGATTTTCTTTCTAGGCATATATTGTCGTTTGATTATTTGCTCTTTCTTTCTATGTCCAAATCATCGTGGCAAAAACGCAAAAAAAGTTTTCATTTTGAGCTCCAAAACGAGCTACAATGGCGCAACGAGGAGAAGAAACTCGCTTAAACCCCATTGTGCCGGTATACGCCGGATCTGAGACCGGCCAATCATCTTCCGGGAAGCGCAGCCGTGAGGACGAGGCGCCGCCACCGGGTGGAGGAGAAGACGACGAGTCGTACTCGGCGCCGAAGCGGCGAGCCAAAGCTCAGGACGTGCTCTTCAGAATCGTGGTGCCGTCGTCGCAGATCGGCAAGGTCATCGGCAAAGAAGGATGCAGAATACGGAAGATTCGCGAGGACACCAGAGCCACCGTCAAAATCGCCGACGCCGTCGCCGTAAGTTCTCGCCGCCGCTAATTAGGGTTTCTGTACCCTCTGTTTGGCTTCCTAGAAAGTGGAAGGAAAAAATAAATAAGAAAAGATTGGTCTTTTTGCTCCGCTTTTTTATATATACGTTTTATTGCAGAGACATGAAGAGCGTGTGATCATCATAAGTTCCAAGTACAGTGATAACCAGGTTTCGGATGCTGAGAATGCTTTTCAGCAAATTGCTACTTTAATTCTCAAGGTGCATTCTTTAGAAAACTTTGCTCACTGGAATATTATTTTACATTGTATTTATGTTAGAGACAATCTTGAATCTATAGTGGAATCAAAAAGATTAACAATTGTATTAAAGGTTAATACAATAAAGAATTTCTTAAAAATTTTGACTTTCCGGGCTATTAGAGTACACTGCAATTATATTATAGATAATCTCTAGTGCAACCAAAAGGATTGTAAGAGTTGTATTTAAATAGGAAGATGATAGTAGTGTTGAGGCAGCAAAAGTTGGTGCTGGACATGTAGCTGCCAATACAATAAGGCTTTTGATCGCCGGGTCCCAGGCAGGCTCTTTAATCGGGATGTCCGGTCAGAATATAGAGAAATTGAGGAACTCTTCTGGTGCTTCAATCACTGTTCTAGCTCAGAATCAGTTGCCTTCGTGTGCTTCTGCTCATGAATCCGATCGAGTTGTTCAGGTGAGCTTGTATACACTTTAAGCTCCAATGCAAACTACATATCTTTGCCTTGTGTGTTTTCAGATAATCACCATTAGCTGTTTGATAATGGGTCTAGAGTGGAAGGTAATTATAATTCCTATTAAAAATCAGATATCAGGTGATGTTCATGCTGTTCTGAAGGCCTTGGAGGAGATTGGTTGTCAACTAAGGTATTTATTGAAAATTTTATTTGTATTCCTTGGTATATGTTAGCTGCATATTTTATCTTGTATTTAGGTAGGATATCTTACCAGGTTTTATTGCCTGGTTGTTTAGGGAAAACCCACCTAAACAAGTAATTTCTATCAGCCCGGCATATAACTATACAACGGTTCGACCGCCTCAACCTTACATGGATCCAACTTCAGGTTATTCGATTTTTTTTTTCTCTCCATGTAAAAGTTAGAGAATCCGACTGCCACATTTGTGGCAATATCAAGTTTTGATATTTTTTCTTATAACCACATCATCTTTAGGACAAACAATCTTGCAGTTGATTATGTAACCTTCGAGATGGCGATATCGGAAACTCTGGTTGGTGGCTTGATCGGCAGGTCTGGCTCTAACATATCAAGGATTAGGAATGAATCTGGAGCAACGATCAAGGTAAGCTGATTTTTATTCTTCATGTCAATCGATTCCAAAGAGGCCTTCGTTGGTTGTAAGAGAGGAAAAAATGATGTTGTATTTCTACTAGAGGACTGATGTTATGTATAATGTAAGTTTCAAAATTTAAGCAATGCTTAATTGACAGTCAATGAAGTCTTAGTAATTGCTTATCCTTATTGTCGTGCAAGTTTTTCTTATGTTTAGCTCCTTCTCCTCTATCCTTTGCTTGGAACTTTTTAGTAATTACTTCTTCTCTGGGTTCTATTTCCGCTTCAATGGGCTTGTATCTTTTGCAGGTTTATGGGGGGAAAGGTGAACAGAAACAGAGGCAAATTCAGTTTGGTGGTAGTGCCCAACAGGTTATACTTTTGTCTACTTTCGTTTTCTTATTGGTTTTTGGCATTTTCTATCTTTCTTAGATGGGTAACATTCTAGATATTACTCTAGGAAGGGCTCATGGCAGCACTAGTAGAACTTTTGTCTTAACGAAAGCAGAAAGCTACATGTTCTGACTATCATGACTCAAAAATTTCCATACATTTGGTCACCATTTTTTTTTTCCCGGCTCTGATACGCTTGGTCACTTTATCACTCTTATCTATTGCATATATAAATCTTTCAATGTGTGGTAGCTCTTGCCTGCTCTCTACAAACAATTATTGCTGGTTTCTTTTTCTAGAGAGTATCTAAATTCTGAATCTGATATTCCTTGCACTAAGTTTAAGGTGCAAATTTGAAGGAAAGAAAAGAGTGGAAGGATCTTTTAGGAGAAAATGGAATTGTAGGTTGTTTGGTAGGAAAGAAAATTGAAGAGAAGAGAAAAGTGGGGAGAAAAAAGGATTCATGGGTCCCACTATTTTAGTATTGTTAATCCATCAAAAAATGGGAGAGTTTTTTAATAGAGAGAACTAGTTTTTACTTTGCATGACGAGAAGAATTAACTATTTGTTTGCATTTTCAAAACAAAATAATACAAATTAAAAAACTTTGGTGAAATAATCATTCGCTTAATGACATGTTTTCTTTCCTTCTCATCATACCAAACAAGGTTTAAGGATAATCAACTTCCTGTTCTTCATTTTCTCTATCCCTCTATTTTTTCTTTCCTTCCTATCAAAAGGGGTGTTAATTTTCTTTATTTTGGATGCCTAACAGGTTGCGTTGGCGAAGCAAAGGGTTGATGAATATGTCTATTCTCAGTTGATACAACAAGCTGATGCTCAACAAGCAGCGTAACTATCCTGCCCTTAAAAATCTCTATTGTTTCACCTTCCAAGGCATAATATGATTTAAGCAGAAAATGTTTCTGAGTTTTACATAGTTAGTTCTATAGTCACCAAAGCTATAATCCTAGAGCTGAATGGAAAATTATTTTTGTGACTGCAGAACTACATTGCTAAGACAATGATCTTCGGTCACATCATGAACCTAACTCCGAGGCGTTCTCGGACTTGAAGAGATGATGAAGCTATAAAACATCAAGAAATTGAGCTCCTATCTCAACAATTGAAAGTTGACCACAAGAAATTCAGTTTCATAATCATAGGTATCAACTCAAGCAATACAATTTGTCGCTCTATGCTGTTTTTGGCAATAACGTACCAAATATGGAAAATGTGTAAAAGGTAAAGGGTGATATTGCATTGTTAGAATTTTTTTTTTTTTTTTTTTCTGTTAGATGGGATTTTAAAGGATACATGAACATCTCAAGTCCTTTCTCTGTAATTTCAGAAGGTATTAAATTAAATGACAAGTTGTTGTGATGTTGAAAAGAAACTCCCCAATCATGCTTGGTGTCAAAAAGTCCTTTATCAAGTACCGTATCTGTAAATTCGGAAGGTATTAAATTAAGTTGGTGTGTTTTAATTGGTGCCATAAATGAGTTTTTTGAGAGCCCTTGGTACTTTAACATTGAACTCTTTCTAAGAATACGTACATCAAGAATCCTGGATGCAATCAAATTGATCTAAAATTTCTTGGCACTAAAACGAAGTAAGGCAGCTAAGATTTGTCCAAATAACCAACCATATGGGACCCAATAATTTCATGGGCTACGTGATAAACTTTCTTGTTCTCTAACATTGCAGAACTAAGTTTTGAAAAAATACCACTCAAATATTGCACATCACAATCATGTTGACGATTTGACAAAATTTCATGAATTTTAACAATAAAAAAATATATATTATACTCATTTTTTTGTATTATCACTTTTTTTTCCTTTAAAACATAATATAGACGGACCGACAATATGAGTCATAAAATGATAATATGACTTGAAACAACACGAATTTTATGTGTTAAACACACGAAACTCTAAAAAAACTTAAATATATATAATATATATATGTTTTTCATTGCATGTTTAAATTTTATTATGAACTTGTGATATCATGATAATTGTTCTTAAAATCTTATCCTATTACTTGCTTAAATTTGATGGATGTTATTGTATTTTAGCGTGATAATAAGATTTAAGTTATTTCTAATTTGTGTAAAAAATAAAAATAAAAATAAAATAAAAAATAAAAAAAACCTCAAGAAAAGTATACCATTTTCGTTAATAAGTTTGATGGTTGGCATAAGCTTTGGCTAGAAAGTGACTCCTCTATGCCTATTTTACTTCTAAAGTTGGTTCTTTAGATGTGCCTTAGAAGCTGCGGAATAAGTGGAATCATGCTATTTTGTTGTCCAAATAGATAGATTTTAGGTTTTCTCATGTGCATAGAGAGGTTAATTATTGTGCTGATAAATTGACCAATTTTAGTATAATAAATAAGAATAAGATGTGGTGCACATCCTATCCTGAGTCTTTTGATTTTATTTAGTGTTTAGAGATCCTTTGAGTTTGTCTTTTTTCAAGTTCTCTTAATTGAGTTTTTTATCTGTATTCTTTTAATTTTTTAATAATATTCTCCTCTATTTAAAGAAGTTTCATTCTAAAAATATCGTGGGTTTGGAATAGTTTTTTAAAACGGTTTTCACGTATTTCGAATAATAAAAAATGAAAATGAAAATAAAAACAGTGAAAATGTTTTTGTGAATGAATTAAAAAACAGTTAAAAGTTATTTTTACTTTTCTGTTTTCATTTTTTAGTACTTATTAATAATATTATAATATATTAATTAATAAACACGATTTTACTTTTTTATTATACTCAAAACAAACCAACCAAACGCAATTTCAGAATCGATCCTAAAATGATTCTCAAAACAATCTCATTTATACTTTTTATTAAAAATAAAATTATTTTAAAACTAATTCTAAACACACCCATCATTTTTGTGTCTTCAGATTCCCATGTCAATTTTACGCCACGGATCGTTTTTGTATCACGTCAACTCATAAAATAATCGTGTTATATACATATTATAATTTTTTAAAAATTCGTGTCACAAATTATATTCGAATTGATTACAAATTTAAAAAGAACGATCACCACGCAACACATAATACGAATGGTCAATATACTACTTAGCTCCCTCCCTAAAAGAAATATATTGCTTAGCTAATATAATAGTAATAATATATTCGTCCAATTCCTACTAAAAAAAAAACAAAAACAAAACAAAAAAAAAAACAAAAACTCTTAAGATGGATGTGCAAAATGTTCGTGAGAAGCACATGGGTCCCACTAACAGTCTCGAAATACGATACCAAGTGGCGATTCTTTTTGGGATTTCTCATCTGTTCCCCCACACGTGCAATCACCATCTTTGTCTTTCATCTCATTCTTCCACCTGATGATCGACGACAATGATTGGGGGCCTCGTGTAGAGAATTATAAAAATTACACGAATCGGACGGCTTTCCATGATTCATATGTTTTCATCCTACGGTGCACAGAGAATCAGTTTTTTTATTTTTTTTTAAAAAGGAATTATTGCTTACGAAGTGTTTGACTATAAACAAAGTGGATAGTTTGACCGCATGTGATCACACGGGTGCCTTGCTGTATCATTTTTATTCCTTTTTTAACTTGCACATTAATATTAGTAAAGGGTATGGTCTCCAGAAATCACATGAACTCAATTTAAAAAATAGTTTTAAAAAAAATGTCAAGTCAGTGACATGTCCCTATTTTTAATACTAAAATCCAAGGGTATATAAATATAAATATATTAAAATCCAAGGAAAATAAACTATTTAAGCCTCGTTCATTTCACCGATTTGAGTTTTCAGTTTTAGGTTTTTACAGTAAAAAACTCTCAGAAAATGTCACATCTAACTTTTTCTGCTACAGTGAAAAGCTCTCTGAAAATGTCACATTTCAGCTCGAATTGAAAACTCAAATCCGCGAAGTGAACAATGCCTAAGAATGTAGAGACTTCTAATTCAATAACAATTAATTCATTGGGCAAGAGTTGGAGAGTTTTAAGAGGGAAGTGATAACCAATCCCATTTGAAACAAATGAAAAAGAACAAATTGGGTTATGAAGCATGTATATATATATATATATTGACATATATAAATAGCATATCTAAATTCCGAAATACAATAAAAGAAAAAAGAAAACGGACAAATAAGATTCATCATCACCATCGCATTCATCCAAGTTCAAAGATACCATCTTCAACTTGATGAGTTAGTGTCAAGTAGAAATTGTAACTTGTGCCTGATATTTAACTTTAAAGAATTTGACTTATAGCAAAATAAAGTAACTATCTTTTTTGTTTACAAACTCTCAAAAATATATAAATTTTTCCTTCCAAAGAAAAAATAGAGGCCAAGAATTTGAATGGGAACAATTTAGCGGTTGGTAAAGCAAAGAAGTGCAAACAAGTGGTAGTCATGAAAGTGACGCGTCGAGAAGTTCAAGCCATGTCCTTAGGGAAAAAAAAAAGTTTCAAGCCTTTGACAAGAATTTCTCTAGTGCTCGTTTATTTCACCGATTTAAATTTTTAATTTTTAGTTTATACAGTTAAAAACTCTTAAAAGTATTTCGTTTAATTTTTTCTATTACAGTTAAAAGCTTAAAAAATATTATATCTCAATTTAAATTGAAAACTCAAATCCACAAAACGAATAAGATCTAATCGTAAATATGAAAAATATATGAATATCATGTTGAGGGTACTCAAATAGTCCTAGATCCCTAATCTAAGTTAAGTGGGTCATGTTGTCTTTGACGCTTCGGAAGGGGAAATATGTTATTTGACTTAATTAATTTTTTATTTCAGAAAAAAAATATTTTATTTTTTGAAGAAATTAATTCACAGCTTACTTTAACTTTTTTTTTTTTTTTTGGTAAGAATAATATACCACTTATTAGTGGCAATTGTTCATTACCGACAATATTATGGTACTTAATTTGACAGAGTGGATTGATTTGGCTTTCTTAAAAACCAAAACAAAAAACAAAAGGGTTTTTGCTTTCAATATCCAAAACCTCCATTAAAATTACATGATTTTTAAGGAAACAAAAACCAAAAATTCTTTAGGGGCTATACATAACTCTCATCACACAAATAACTTGCATATTTTCAAAAATAAAAAAGAAAAAGAAGGAATTTTCTGTGGATAGAAAAGTCTTATCCCAATCGTGTGGTTAATTAAAGAAAGAAACAGGAAAAAGATGAATATCAATCTCCGTTCAGTTTGCTAATTCGAATTGAGATGTGATGTTGTGTGAGAGTTTTTTACTGTAGTAAAAAAGTTAAATATGACTATTTCTGAGAGCTTTTTACTGTAGTAAAACTCAAATTTTAAACTCGAATCAACGAAAAGAACGGGACTAAATTTAAGGCAGGATTGTGTTGGAAACTAAAAGGAAAGAAAAGCAACCAAAAAAAAAAAGGCTGGACCACAGTCAGGTGACAATCACATGGAGTTAGGCCTCGTACGGGTATGGATGATGGAGATGGTGGGGAGTGGTGGTGGGTTTAATGATTGGGAGGATAACACGTGGGACAGCTAACTCTCACTTTCGTTCCCAAGTAACAAGATCTCATTCATAGCCGACCATATATCCTTTGTTTTCCATATACACATACACACATGCATATATATATATATATATATACCGTCCATCCACATGTAGATATAAAAAATGTTCAGCGCCATAAGAATTTTATGTGAGACATAAATGATAACTGTTGAACATAACATTCACTATATTACGCTTTTTTAATGTCAATACTAATTAAGAGTGTATAATATTTTTTATTTTATTTTAAATGAGTGCTGGAATAGTCCTAATTCATTATTGTTTAGCTACACAATGCATTCATTTACCCAAAAAAAAAAAAAAAAAAACTCATGATATTTCCATAAAAATCGAAGTTTTATTCTTTATGATTTTTTTTTTAATCTTTTCAGAGAATGCAACGCTTTAGCTGCAAGAAAAACGTACATCTGCCATAAGATATAAAACTAGAGCTGTATGTAAATGTGATTGCATGCATAATTTAGATATAATTTCACACACTCATAAGATATAAAACTCGAATTCCTCGACTTTCAAATTAAAAAAGAACAAGTGTACTAAACTATGCTTAAACTAAGAAAAATGATATTTAACGTTACGTTTTTTACTTGGTATATTGAATGGACCGGATAAATAATAACTATAACCTATCATATGCTTCTAATTTTATTCATCGTCATACAAAAAAGATAAATAAATAAAACAAAAAATCATTCATCATCATCATCAAAGCCCTATGGCTTGGTTGTTCCTTAATTATATTTATATGTGCATTCTATTATTGGAG